GGAGGGGTAAGTGAGGACTGAAGGCATCTCAGAAGACATTTCCTCTGGAAAAGAGAACCACCCACAAGGCCCCCAAGTGCTGACAAAGGGCAAGAAATAGACATATTGAGATCCTATTGGGAGAATATAAATTGACACAATCTTTCTGAAAACAGTTTGCTAAGTTTACTGTAGAATCTTAAAAATTTATTCACTCTGACCCATTCATTCCACCTCTAGAAAAACAGGCTGAGGAAATAATCTTAGATGTAGCCAAGGATTTAGCTACAAAGGATGATCATTGCAATATTATTTATAATGGAGGAAAATTGGAAATAAGTCAGTTTCAGCAGTAGGCAATTGATCAATGAGGGCTTTATATCTATGAACTGAATATTGTATTGCCATTAAATTATGTTATATATGTAGTGAAAGATTTAATGATATTAAAATATTTATGATACAGTAGGAAAGCAGATTCGGAACAGTATATACCACATGGTATCATTTTTTATGAAAAGAGAAGATGTGATATATCTATTTGCATTAAAAATTAAGAAGAAAATATATCAGTGTTAATAGTATATTGTATGATTCTATGGGTTGTAAGAATATAAGTAAATTTTATTTCCTTCTTTATGATTATCTGCATTTTCTATTTTTCTACACTGACCATTATTACTTATGAATTAAAAACAACAACAATAAAGGACCCCTCCAAAAAAGGGAGGGGCAGGGAAGATACAGAAACAAAGTGCATTTGATCTAGGATGAGCGGAGAAACTAGCATCCTAAGTACAATATAGTAATGTTCTATCTCATGGGTTACATGTTAAAACAGGTTGTGAATATATATATTTTTGATTTGAAGAAACAAAATTGTTTTTTTCTTTTAGTTTTTTATTTAAATTCAATTTACTTAACATATAGTGTATTATTAGTTTCAGAGGCAGAATTTAGTGATTCATCAGTTGCATATAACACCCAGTGCTTATTTCATCAAGTGCCCTCCTTAACGCCCATCATCCAGTTACCCCATGCCCCCACCCACCTCCCCTCCAGCAACTCTATTTGTTTCCTATACTTAAGTCTCTTATGGTTTGCCTCCCTCTCTGTCTTTATCTTATTCCTTCCCTTACCCTATGTTCATCTGTTTTGTTTCTTAAATTACACATATGAGTGAAATCATATGGTATTTGTCTTTCTCTGACTTACTTCACTTAGCATAATACCCTCTAGTTCCATCCACATTGTTGCAAATGGCAAGATTTCATTCTTTTTGATGGCTGAGTAATACTGTGCATATTTTATTTTTAAAAGGTTCTGATCATTAAGACTGGCTGCCCAGGTTTAGATGAATGTCCAGCTATGTACTTCACCATCTATAGGATGGCTATCTCTGCAATGTAGACCCTGTGACTTTAGTGAGTCACTTAAAAGTTGATTGCAGAGAGATGGGTCAGATTCTCATGGTTTCTGAAGATTTCACATCTTATGGGGTCTGCCAGTGCTTCTCTTTGCTGTTTTTGTACCATGCATTTTCATGTGGTATTTCATGTTGATTTTCATAATAACCCTATGAGGTAGGCATTGTTTTCCATTATTATATTATTTTGAGGGGAGGAAACCCAGAGATTGACTTGCTCAAGGTAATGTGACAAGACTAGAGTCAGGACTCAAACCCAGGTCCCTGACTGTGAATACCCACACTTTTGGCACTGCCCCTACCATGTCCTAGGTCTTACAAATTTTCTCTGGTTTTGAGAACACAGCTTCTTTAGGGTTGTGGTGCCTAGACAGAGAAAGGAAGTTACTTAAGGTATAGTATAAGGACTGCTGCAGACAAACTTCTGATAAGACTGACTCAGTGTTGGGACAAAGATTCACTCACAGCCAGGACTGAGCCAATGGGGAAAGAGACCAACTCAACTATCCATGCTTTCTTTCCTTCCTTCCCTTTCTATTTTAGTGTCCTCCTTGTGGTCACTGCCTTTTGAAGCTGAGTGTCCTGTCTCTGTTCTCTGACTGTGGTGGTCACCCATGTCTCCTGTCCCTAGGTTAGGTCACACCTTTGCTATTCTAACATTCAAAGTTTGCCTGTTCTGCTTCCCATTTGCTTTGGGATCTTTTCTTGTCTTTGATTTATGATGAATTCATTCATTAGGGTGGGTGGGGGAAATTTTCAATTAAAAAAAAGGAGGAAATAGAGAAGATAAAAAAGCCAAAGCATTAATCAAAAAATATGAATTTCTATGAATAGAGATCTTTTTTTTTTTTTTGGCAGAGTGGCTTTTATGCTACACATCTAAAACTATACCAGAGTTGATCACTAACAATATGTTAATGATTTCCCTCATCTCTACCCTATTCAGCAATTAATTAAAATATCCCAGTACTGATAAGCATTTCATAAATATTTTGATCTCACTTTGCCTGGCTTAATAGTGGAATAAAGTATAGGAGGGACTATATTAGCTTTGGAGAAAACAAACCTAAGTTTAAAGCCCCAGCTTTGTTGCTTTTGACAATTCGCTGATCTCTAAGTCTTGGTTTCCTCATTTGTAAAATGGAGATACTACTTCCTAGCTTCTGACTTATAAGGAATAGATGGAAGGGGCCCTCATGCCCTCAGTGGGGTGCTGAGTTGGCTTGCTCTGGTTCCTAAGAGCCACTTGTTAAATTTCCAGGAATTTCTGAGCAGGTTGTTAAACATAGCCATATTAAAAATTAAAGTATATAAACTTACAACTAAATGCATTGTTTAAAAAGATGTAATAAATACTCAAAACTCATCATCTCCTAGTTATTTTGCTATATTTTACAATTATCTATGCTCTTGTGGTTATTCACATCTATTGTATGTATCTGTAAGGTGGAAATACTAATTAATGGTGTACCACCCTTCCTCTCTTCTCAACCTCGTGTTAAGTAACGTCTTGTTGATAGTTGGCCATGATGAGGATATTTACGCTACAGAAATGAGCAAAAATCCATGAATCAGGATTTGATTTATTGCTTTGTCGTTGTCTAAGGAAGGCAGGGCTGGCAGACAGAATTTGGCCCATGGATATTTTGGTACAACCTGCAAACTAAGAAAGAGGTTTTATATTTTTAAAAGGTTGTAAAATAGGACAGAGACCAGATGTAGCTGCAAAACTTAATATATTTATTTTTTGGCCCTTGAGAGAAAAGTTTGCAATCTCTGGCCTAGGTGGAGAAAAATTTAATAATAAAGATTAAACTTAGAAGTGTGTCCTGCCTTGATACGTGGAATTTGAGAAACAAGACAGAAGATCAAAGGGAAGGGAGGGAAAAATAAAATAAGATGAAACCAGAGAAGGAGACAAACCATAGGAGACTCTTAATCTCAGGAAACAAACTGAGGGTTGCTGGAGTGGAGGCGGGTGGGAGGGATGGGGTGGCTGGGTGATAGACATTGGGGAGGGTATGTGCTATGGTGAGCGCTGTGAAGTGTGTAAGACTGATGAATCACAGACCTGTACCCCTGAAACAAATAATACATTTTATATTAATTAAAAAAAAAGAGGTGTGCCCTGCTTGTAGCTCTACATTGTGAGGAGCACATACACAAAAATGAAGACGTGTCTTCCAATATCTGAAAACTATTATTTGATTCAGCCAAAAAGCTGCTCATGTCACTGGTTAATGAATGAATTTCCAACATATATGTTGGAACTGAAAGAGGGTGTGATTTAATGAGTATAATTTTTGTGAGGGTGGCAGTTCAACATTATTTCACACATGTGATTTCATGACAGCAAATGTATGGGGAAAAGCATTCGTGGACCAGAATACAGTTCCGTTGATCAAATCATGGTTGAAAATCAGCTACCAATACAAGAGTTCAGCAAAGCTAAGTGAAAGCATTCTGTGAGCGTCAGTTGGCTACATGGAATTTATAATATACAAAAACTTTGTGTCTTGTTATTATTTGTGAAACATGTTACACATCTCTAATATCTAAAAAGTTGAAACATGAGTGTGTGTGTGTGTGTGTGTGTATGCCCCTCTCTGAGAGGTTGTTAAACGTTCCCCAGCACACCACTGCCCCTACCTCCCCTATCCGTCTTGCTTCACACCTCCTCTGTGCTCTTAGTTGAAAAACACTGGCCTTCTTTACTTCATGGGATTCTCCAAGCTACCTCCTGGCTCAGAGTCTTTGATGTTGCCTTTTCCTTACTCTGAAATTTTCTCCTCCTCAATACTTTCACTCCCAATACCTGAGATCCTTCAGATCTAGTCTAGTTGGGCAGATAATGATAGTGTGAAATGCCTAGGGAAAAACAGCAGTAGCTAATGCTTAGAGATCACGTCTATGTATCAGACACTCTGTATGTACCAGCACTTTGCCCATATTAATTGATTTAATCTTTACAATAACCCTGTGAAAGAGGTAGTAATTATATGTCCATTTTATAGATGAGGAGACAGAGATGTTATGGAAAATCCGAAGGTCTCAAACGTGGCAGAGCTGAGATTTGAACCCAAGTGATAGGTTCGCAAGTCTGTGTCCTTAACCATCACCTTCCACTGCTGCTGGGGAGAATGAAATCATAGCAGAGCTCTTGCCATCCAAGAAGAATTGGTCTGGGAGTCATGCAGGAGTCCTTCAAGCATCCCAGAGCTGCAGAGCAGTGTGAGTGTCACCAGACTCTTCAAATGGGAGGGGAGAATTTACAAGGCTGGATTCCCCCTCTTCCTTGTATCTGGGTGTGTATCTGGGGGCATGCTTCAGTATATAGGGAGCCCATAGGCATAGGGAGTGAGAGCCTGTGGGACCTACAGATGCTACTTAATAAGAGACGTAAAATATAGCAACCATAAGAGGTTTGAATGTAGACCTCCCACTAACTTTACAATGGGGAACATTCGTACATGCACATATACGGGCGAACACACACACCCACCCATGTGTGCACATGCTACTTTGGGAAGTTGTTCTTTTCTCAGCTCACTCACTGATTTAGCTAACAAATAGTTATGCAATAGTTTTCCATGAGAGGCACTATGTGAAGACCAGGGATGGATACAAACGTAAGTCAGCTACCATGCCTTTCCTCCAGAAATTTTGTTCTTGTAAAAGAGGTAAGTAGGTGACTATAATATACAAGGTCAGAGGGATTAAGGGACAATGAGAGAACTACAAATAAAAGGTGAGGAGGGTTTGGTGGGCAGAGTAGGGGCAGATGAGGAATAGGGTTGGCTTCAGAGAGAACTCAGCACTTGTGGTGGGCCTGGAAGACCTGAGGATAGGAAAGGAAGGTGATTTAGGTAAAAGGAGAAACTTGAGCAAAGGCATGGAGCCAGGAGAGCTTGGCATAGGTGGGTAAGAGGTTAAGGTCTCTGAAGAGACAGGATGTAAGAAAATGCTAGAAAGATAGATCAGGGCTAGATTGTTAGAGAGTGGGAGGAGTTCTAAATGTCAGACCAAAGCATTTTAAATTTATTTTTATGGCAGTGGGAATCCATTGCGGGATTTTGATTAGGAGAGCATCTAGCAAGCTGCTTGCTGGGTACATAGTATGCAGATGACCGTTCAACGTCAGTTCAATTGATAAAGCAAAGAAATAATAATGGCTGAAATGTATTGGGTGCTTGCTGTAGCTCAGGCACTTTTCAAACATTTGACACATTTTTAACATGTAATTCTCACCACAGCCCATGAGATACTGTATCTCCACCTTACGGGGGAGGCAACTAAGACTCAGAGAGGCTATGTGTCTTGCTCAGGGTTGTGACAAATAAGTAGGCATCTGACCAGAGCCCCCACGCTTTATACCGCTGTGCAACTTGGAAAAGAGGAAAAAAAAAAAAGGAAAGAGAAAAGAGATATGAAGCCAATGCTGTTCTTCAGAAAGGAGGCTGTGGTAGGCCCAAATTAGCAGAGGAACAGGGTGGGTTGGAAATAAGAGACATTCCAAAGATAGAATCCACATGGATCTGTTACTACTTGCTATAGGAGGCCCAGGAGAGGGAAGGGTCAAGAAAGCTCAGTTGCTAACTTCAGTCCCTGGGAGGTGGTGGAGCTATTGAAAGAAATTGGGGGGAAGGGGGAGGACAGTTCATTTTCAGACCATGCCTGTGGAAACCTGGGGACTCAGAACCCTACCAAGGAGCCTGAGGAGAAGTGTTTTAAAAGGCTAGCTTCAGGGCTCCTCAGCCAGGTCCCATTCCCTACTCTGGGGCTCTGGGAGTTTGTCCTGGGAATATTAAGGCCCTCCCAAGGTTCCTTTCTATGTTTATATCATTTATCAGGGAAAGGATTGTTAATGACTAATCTGTGTTCATGAGGCACAGAGCCAAGGAAGAGATGTTGCTGCTGAGCCGGAAGGCCGACTGTGATCATCCACGGCTTTTACTAGAACTCCCTCCTCTTCCTCCTCCTCCTCCTCACCCCACTGTCTCCGGGACTCACCCCAATGCAAACCCAGGTTCTGAGCATTTGTAGCAAAATTGCCGCGATTTGGAGAAGAAGACTGGACTCAGAATCCTCCCAGGGCCTTGAAAGTTCATCTCCAACCTGAGATAATCCAAGTGAGTACCTAATTCCTTTGGGACCGGGTGTCTATCTGAAGGCAATGGAGGGGAAGTTGTCATTTAAAATTTCTCTTTAACATCAGGAAGTTTGGTCAGTGAATGAATTGTAAGTTAGTAGAGTCTGATGTAAAATCCTAAAAACAAGAAGGGAAAGAAAAGGAAAAACTCTAAAAACAAACAAGAGGAAGCAGGAGTTCATGGGTCTAACAGATGCTTACCTTATTGACAAATTATTTAGGAATATCTTTTAAACATTGTGGTCACCCAAGAGAACCACCAGAGACAGTGAATTTTAGAAATGTCTCTGTTCTGATTCCATAGACAATTTGGCCTGAATAGTATGCTCTATTTTGGTGATTTATCAGATCTTGCTGTGAGTTTGGGAATATTGCTAATCTCAAATGACTTGGGACCTAGGGACAGGACAATGTTTAAGCCATGCGTAACTGAAATAAAAGTTTTTCCTAGGAGAAGAGTAGGTTTAAAAAGCTTTCTCTTTTGATTTCAGTTGTAAACTTGCTTTCCACTTATCATATTAATATCGGATGGAAATACTAAAAAAAGATGGAAAATGTTAGGAAGAACTTTGATATTAAAGTTGTCCACAGTCTGAATCACAGATAAGGCATCACCTTGTCTGCTTACTGCCATAGTGAATTAGGCAACTAACTATAAGGTGAGCCTGGATCGTTTCTCTTAACTGAATTTTTATTTAGAAGGTGGGGGGATACACATGACTCACTTTGGATTCTTTCTCTGGGAAACTCACCTGAGTTTTAAAGAAATCTGATGTTGCCACTGGGACTGCCTTAGATAAAGGGACCTCAGAGTATCGACAAGAGAAGTAGAGAAAGATGTTGAGGGAGCCATCACTGGGTTTCTAGCTGTGATTTTATGAAATGATAAGCACTTTCATCTTTGAGTCACCCTCCTCCAAATGATGGACTGTGCCATTTGCACCGTGGACTTTTCTGTTTTGCTGAGCATGTTGCAATGTGGCTGATGCAACTGGAGGTAGCTGATAAGTACCAGCCAGGGACGACACACTCTTGTCCTGAGACCCTTCCTCAGTGTCTGCAGCTGTGTTTTTCTCCAGGCTCCTCTGCCCTCTCTCCAGAGTCCAAGAAGGAAAGGAATATACTCAGGTCTTCCCACGCCTTCCACACTTCCCAAATCTGGCCAGATTGTGATGGAACACCCAATAGTTGTTAGGCCCTGAGTACTTTGTAAGGAAAGAAATGTGTGTGTCCGTGAGTGTGTCCTGGATTTTGCTGACTTTGAGCGCCTACTAACAAGTCACAGGCTTTACATAAACTGCCTGTTTCCTTCTCACAGTAAGCCTGCTTGGGAGTTTTTCTTATATTCATTTTATAGATGAGGAAACAGAGGCTCAAAGAGGACAACTTATTTTTATTTTTTTAGTAAACTCTACTCCCAATATGGGGCTAGGACTCACAAACCTGAGATCAAAAGTTGCATGTTCTACCTACTGAGCCAGCCAGGCGCCCCCTCAAAGAGGACAAATAATCTGGTCCATGATCACACAGTCAGGAAGTAGCAGGTACTGAACATGAGGGCAGGTCTTTCTGACTCCAAAGTCCTTTCCTTGCTACCCCGACATTGTTGGAAGCTGGGAAAACTTGAAATCTGGACTAATGGGAGAGCAGGCAGAGCAGCCTGCAAACATTTCAGTTGCCAGGGATGATGTGTTAAGCCCTAGCACAGTTGTGAAGAGTCCTAAAGCCTTGTAGGGTGTTTTCTAGTGACTGCACCATGAGCAGGGGGAAGTGGAAACTTTCAACACTATTTGCTTTAACCCAGAGATTAGTCTGGGAGTCTGAGAAGAGCTCAGCATTGTTGTGGTTCACAGAGTCTACAGATTATGAAAGCCAGGAGAATACACATCACCATGTGACAGATTTGAAAAGGCTCGCATTGTCCTTAGGTGGGTGGATGAAGGAAAGCATGAAGGTATGTGTTCTTTTCTTAATAGGGAGAATTTCCCCTTTCGTTTTGCTAAAAGTCTCATTTTCCTCTTTCATCCTAGCAACAGAGATCGTGAAGGGGCTAAGAGAAATAGGAACAATTTTCTTCTTCCCAGGTATTTTTTTTTTTAAGATTCTATTTATTTATTTGATAGAGAGAGAACACAAGCAGGGGGAGCAGAGGGAGAGGAAGAAGCAGGCTCCCCGCTGAGCAGGGAGCCCGATGCGGGGCTGGATCCCAGGACTCTGGGATCAGGACCCGAGCTGAAGGCAGATGCTTAACCGACTGAGCCACCCAGGTGCCCCTTCCCAGGTATTTCTTACTGAGGTAGTATTTACTGCCAGTGGAGTTGTGTCTACAAGGTATCACTATACACATGTCCTTAGTTACCTAGCTGCATGGGGAAGCAGAAGTTGTCCTTATATAAAAATATCCACCTACCTTGCTCTTCTCTCACCCCACTCTGTAATTCCCTAGCCCCTGTGCCCTCCACAGGGAGTTATGTTTTCCCTCAGTTTGCCGCTTTCCAATTTTGATAATAAAGCAGTGTCTGCTATTCTTACTCTCTCTCTCCTTTCTGTAAGTTTGTGTCAGTACAATGCTAATCTAACACAACTTGATTGTGAAGTGAAATACTGCACGGAAAAAGTAATACGTTTTTTCTTTGTTAGGTCTAAGTATTACAACAGAGTTCTGGTGATTAAAATTAATATGTGTGAATGTAATAAAAATATTGATTAATTTGTATTTTTCAAGATAAAATCCTAATAAAACTTTGAGATTTTACTTACTTCCTGCTCTAAACAGAATCAATGCTGCAGTGAACATCCTGTGCACATGTGCCAAGGTTTATCCAGGGATGATATTTAAGAGTTAGAATTGCATTTTATTTTAATACACACTGCTCAGGGGCACTCCAGAAAGATGAAAAACTATGCCCCCACTAGCAGTCTCTGAGAATACATAATATCATGCAAAAAACTTTTGATAATCTGATAGGTGGAAATGGTATCTAGTTATATTAATTTGCATTTTCTGATTATTAATTAGCTTCAGATGTTTTGTATGTTTATTGGCCACTTTTATTTTCCTTTCAGTGAATTTTTCTCTTTATATCCTTTGCCAGTTTCTTTCCTGGATTGTTTATCCTTTCTGTTTTTATTTATAGGAGTTATTTATGTAGTGTTTGTACAAATTTTTGGCTACTATTTATGTTGTAAACATTTTCTCCCAGTTTGTTTCATATATTTAGCTCTGTTTCTGGTGTCTTGATTTCTTTTTGATTTTAATATAGTCAAATTTATTCTTTTCCTATTTATTTCTTGTTTAAGAAATTCTTCTTAACCCCTTCATTCACAAAGGTCATGAATGTGTTTTCCTGTATTTTCTCCCAATAATTTTATAATTTTTAAAATCTGTAATCTGCCTGAGACTTATTTTCAAGAGTGATGCAAGATAAACATCTTTAATTTTTTTCTCCTCAAAGGAATAGTCAATTTTCTGGACACTATTTTTTGAATAGGTCATCCTTCCCCAACTGGTTCCCACTGAATCCACCGGCTACGGCATAAAAAAACGTATGACTGCTCAGAACACAGCATGCGATTTGCCTTCCTATAGCCATCCCAGTGCATGCCCTCCGCCTAGTCTAATGTCGATTCAAGTTTAAATTCAAGAGGCAGCCCTCCATCCTCAGAAAGATTTTCTAGTCACATGTATGCTTGACACCCACCAATGATTCCCACTTAGAATAGAAGCAAAGCTCTTTACCACAGTCAACAAGGCCATATGAAAGTTGTCTTCTCTGAGACCCCATCTCGTATACTGTCCCTTTGCTCACCCATCGCCAGCTCGTTGGGCTTTTGCTCTTCCTCCCGTATTCCACGCCCAGGCGCTTAGCACTTGCTGACCACTCTGCCTTTGGTCTTATTTCCCTCTTGCATAGCTTACTCCTTATCCTCCACTTCTCAGCTCAAATGTCTCTTCAGAGAGCTCTTCCTGGTTCACTCTGTCCAAAATAGTGTCCAGTGGCATCACTCTATCCCTTGTCCCCTTTATTTTCTTATTATCACCAGTGGAATTCTTACTTTTTGTTTATTTGCAAATTATCCATCTCTTGCCCTAGAGTGTAAGCCTCTGAAGACAGAGGTGATTTTTTTTTCCTGTCTCATCTATCATTCTATTTCCAAGATCTAGATCAAAGCCTGATACATAGTGGGGAATTAATGAACGTTGAATGAATGTCCTTGCTTATGGTCCTGAAGGGACTTGTGCTTACCTCTGTCATAATAACCCCTAGACTATTTGAATTGGGTTTTCCTTGCTGGACATTTCTACTGAGCTTCTTGAAGGATCATGATTTTTTTGGTCTTTGTATATCTGGTGCCTGACACAGAGTCAATAAATGTATATTGACTGAATAAATAAGGGAGTAAATGAATTCACTTGGCAGTGACATTGGAAATTGACATTGAGGTGCCATTTTTAAAGAGTAAACCTATTAATTTAAAGAAAATACTTTCTTTAGATGTTAGTGAGACAATAGCCAACATGCCATATTGTTCATTTGGGGGATGATAACCAACTCTCTAATACTATGTAACAAGCTACCCCCAAAACTTAATGGCTTAAAAAGATAATGACTTATCATTTCTTTTTTTAAAAGATTTTATTTATTTATTTGTCAGAGAGAGAGAGTGAGCACAAGCAGGGGGAGTGACAGGCAGAGGGAGAGGAGGAAACAGGCTCTCTGCTGAGCAAGGAGCCCAATGTGAGACTAGATCCCAGGACCCTGGGATCATGACCTGAGCCAAAGGCAGATGCTTAACTGACTGAGCCACTCTGATTTATCATTTCTTATAATTCTGTTGGCTGGTTAGGTGGTTCTTCTGCTTTTTCCTGGGCTTAATCATGTAGCTGATTTCAACTGGAGGATCAGCTAGGTCTTACTCCCAAGACAGGGTCCTTGATGTTGCCGTTGATTGGGATGCTTGGAATGGCTAAGTCTCTTTTGCCTGGAGTATTTCATTCCTGGTCTCTTTATGGCATGATGGTCTCAGGACATTATTCCAAGAGGGTGAAAACAGAAGCTACAGGTCTCTTGAGGCTTAGCCTCAGAAGTAGAACAAGTCTGTTGGTCAAAGCAAGTCATATTAATAACAACTCATTAAAGGGGTGGGGAAATAGATTTCACTGCATAATGGGAAAAATTGCAAAGTCAGCTTTTGGCTCAAGATGGCATTGGTCTTACTAGAGCAATTTGCGTAACACTTTCTGGATTTATTATGAGTCTTTTTAGGACTCACTCTGTGCCTGAAAACCTACATCCATAATTTTTTGAGATAGACTTCTTTCTACTTTGGACATGTCAAGTTATTGTGGAATAATGCTATGGGATAGCGCCCTTGACATTCTGAGAAGACATTTTACCTAGATGCGAATGTCTACTAGGCACCTCCTTAAGTTTTTTTTTTTTTTTTATTCTTATGTTAATCCCCATACATTACATCATTAGTTTTAGATGAAGTGTTCCATGATTCATTGTTTGTGCATAACA